TCTTTCTTTGCGTGCACATTTGGGCGGCATTATGCAAATATTTCCACATAGTGAGGTAGATATGTGGGGGCGTGTTAGAACGAGCCGTTTTAGGGGGGCGTAGCAGAGTCTTAACTTTGATAAAGTATATCTCTGGTTTTGAGACTTTAGTCTTTGCAACTTCAGGGATCTTATCTATGCACAATCAGCTTGTAACACTCCAAAGAGAAAGTAAAACTTGAAATCGCATCACATGACCCCTTTAATATTATCATTTCTATCTGTTTAGTATTGATGATCAGTTCTATAAAATAGCATACATTTTTTTTCATTAAAATTATTTTTGTTTAATGTCTTAACTGCTATGAATGAATAACAAATAAATTAATTCAGGAATACATTTTGTGATTGTGTAATTTTTGAATAACAAACCATGGGGCCGTGTTTTTTTTCTATCTATCAAAAAATGTAGCACTTTTTTATATCAAATAAAAAATTTTATCAAATTTTGTAAGATTGTATACATTTTCTTCTAAACTTATTTAGCTATTCATGATTATTCCCTTTTTATTTGCATATTTTAATGTATTTATTGACTTAATTTTATTTATTTAGTTCATTTTTGATTTTGGCAGAGATGTCACTCCATAATTAAACATTCTCAGTACAAGATGTTACTTTGGTCATGGCAGTGTTGTGCAGGGTGTTATTGTATTGAAGAAAAAAAAAAATATATATATATATAAATATTAGATGAAAATTAGAAATGTTGCCTTGGCAACAAACTGAAATAAGCTTAAGTACTACAATTACTAAAACCAATAAAAATTTAAGATAGAAATATAAAAAAATAACAAAAGCACATAATAAAAAATCAAATGCTTTTAAGCATGTCTTACATGTCTTTTAAATTATAATTCAATTTACAACTAATAAAATAAAATTATGTATATATATATATTTATTTATTTAAAACAACTATAACAAAAATAATTCGGGATTGCATTTTGTGAGTTACAATTTGTTAATTTATTTTTATTTATTTTTCACAAAATGTGGTATTGTAGGCCTACTTTTTCTAAACCTTTTTTAAATATTCCGTAATTTATTGTTTATTTATTGACATATTTGAATGTTTTGAATTTATTAAAAATGTTCATGTTGGTATTGGATTTTCTAGAGTTGTCACTTATAAACTGTGAGTGTCAGAGATGTTAATTGGTCGTGACTCGTGGCGGAGCGTGTGACACAGGAGGTGATAAATGCGACGGCGGTCGCGGGGATTGGCTGCAGTCTTGCAGGCCGCACATCGACAGAGAGAGCACTGGAGGATCCTCAATCAACAGCATGGGCAAAGTGCACTTTTATGCCGTCTGGTCTTTACGTGAAGCACCTCGACAATTTATACGGTGGGCGCTTTCATTTGAGCTAAAGTTACTTCACCGTATGACCTGATATTAGGCCTATTGTTTTACTTAACCAAACATGTAAGAGTTTGTTGTCACACTTTCAAGGAATGAGTGTGTCTCAGGATAGAAATCTCTTGGCTACGAAAAAGTAGCTGAACATTGCCATCATTATTGCCAAAGAAAAACATGCTGATTAATGACATTGGTTTGAGGAGAATATGTGCTTTTGTTTGTTTTATGTGTATGTATTTTTGTTTGTCAGTTTTTGTGTTTTTATTTGAAATCCTATCTAATGTATATAAAAAAAGGTTATCATACACTAAGACTAAGGACATTTTCTGCTAAATTGCAAAAAAAATTAGAAAGTTGCAGTAAAAATTAAAAATGCAAGAAACAAACCTATCAAACCACTGATGTGACCATAGACTGTAAACTGAAATTGTAACTCATGAATTATATGAAATATATAATACAGCTTGTCCTAACCTTATATTTTTGAGAAATACTCTTGATCAAAGTCAAAGTACAACCTTTCAGAGTAAATTCTACCTTAATATTATATACCCTTTTTTAAATGTATGCCAGTGTAGTCCATGGTGGCCATGTGTTTAGTGCATTGTCATAAAATGTACAACAGTTCTTAACATGGTTTTTGAGTAAACGAGCATTTACACAATCAAATAATATAGTTGTCGATCTTGCCCTTGTGACCACTTCCCTGTGTGACAATGTTTTTTGGGTTCCTCTGATTTACCTCACGTAGAAATGTCAACCGTACAACGTACCAGGTTCAGATGCCGTTACCTTTACCGAAGCAGCTGATAGTGTTTGGTTTAGGGGAATGGTCATGCTTCTCCAGTGATACGGAGATCTCTGTGGAGGTTCTGCTGGGTCCAGAGGTCAAGTCACAGGTCATCGGGACTCTTTCACCTCACTCCAGGCAAGTGCACTGAATCTTATGATTACAGCACTGCCCTGCAGTAAATCATTTGGTCTGAATTCATGCAGATTGGCAGTTAACTAAAATTATTACAGTTGTAATTAAAATAAAATTACTTAAATAATATAAATATTAAATGGAAAAACTGGTACTTAAAATGAAAACTGGAAATGCCTTGGCAACTAACAAAAATAACTTTTAGTCCTAAAACTGAAATAAAAATGAATTAAAGCTATATAGAAATATATATAAAAAACAAACTAATAAAATTGACTTGAATTGATTAAAATGTAAACTGAAATTTAAATGAAAACTAAATATAAAAATAAAAGCCAATATAAAAAAGTACTATAACAGCGCATAAATAATACACGGATCCTGATGAACATTTAAATAAAGACACTAACACTATGACTTTAAATACAATAGATAGCAATTTGCAGCTGTATCAAATAGCACTTAAACAGTTCCAGAAAGCCAAGTATATGTATAGTTGTCTTAATTAACAAACAAATCACCAGTAAGTCAAACCCATATTTATAAAATTAATTCAATAAATGAGACTTGGATGTTCCCTAGATTAAATTTAAGGCCTAGGGCGGCACGATTAATCGAATGCGATTGTCATGCGCATTTTGTTAAACTGATCACAGAACCGTGCTTCACTGAAAGATACACATGACAATCACAGCTTCTGCCGAATCGCGATCTCGATTCCATTTCGATTTATCATGCAGCCCTCTTTCTGTGAAGGTGTCTGATTTGGCAAGGAGTTTGGACTCCTGAGCTTCTCGCTGAAGCCACACAGAGAGGCAGGAGAGGAGTTTACGCTAAAGTCATGCTCAGCATCCGTGGACAGGTATTTAAACATAACATTATGTCCTCAAACTTCTCTCACAAATAAGTGGCATATGTACAGTATGCCTTGTTTTGAATAATTTTAACTTTCTTGTCCGTCACAAACTTCTGAATCTTTGTAGGTGAGATCCAGCTTAATCAGCAGCACTCCACGAATAACAAGGAAACGTCTAGCGCTGAACCACTCCTCCAATCCGTCCAGCACACTTCTCAGCAGCGGAGAGAGTCATGATGTGAGGCACGCTTTGCTTATGACTTCAGGGAAATGATCTGTTCTTTGTTCTTCAGTGGCCACAAGGTCATTTCTAACTTAAAAGGATAGTTCACCCAAAAATGTCAATTCTGTTATTATTTATTCTGTCTCAAGTTGTTCCAGACCTGTATGAATTTCTTTCTTTCTGCTGAACACAACAGAAGATATTTTGAAGAAATTCGGTAACCAAACAGTCGATGGACCCCATTGACTTCCATAGTATAGAAAATCTAAACAAAAGTCAAAGGGGTCCATCGACTGGCTGAGTAAATAATGAGAGTAAATGATGACAATTGTTTGGGTGAACGCTCCCTTTAACTAGTCATAAGATTTTTCCGAATTCTAGACATAAGGTTTATGAGATGCCTTAAGGCAGGGGTGCCCAACCCTGTTCCTAGAGATCTACCTTCCTGCAGACTTCAGTTCCAACCCTGATCAAACACACCTGTCTGTAATTATCAAGTGTTACTTCAGATCCTAATTAGTTGGTTCAGTTGTGTTTGATGAGGGTTGGAGCTGAACTCTGCAGGAAGGTAGATCTCCAGGTGTGCGGTTTGCATTACACAAGACAGAACTGCTCTAACCTGATGAAGAGACAAAGTTTGTTTTGTGAATGATCTGATCTTAAAATTCATCACTGGTTTAGTTATTACTCAAATATAGTTATTATTAAATATTCAGATTTGGTTTGTTTTAGTCTTAGTCTCATAACTTAGTCTCAGTGGAAAAACAGAATGCATCAATACTAGCAATTCTGTTTTCACTTACATTAGAAACTAGAGCTGGGCGATAGATGGTAAATATTTACAATGTACTAATTAATATTATTAAAACAATACAATAAATGGGTTGTTGACATATATATACCGTGCATGTGTGGTGTAACAGCAAAATTTAGAAAACAGTAATTAATAATGGAGAAATTAATAATTAATTTCTTGTTAATAATTGTTAATAATATACAAATAGCATAAGAGAGATTTTTCTTCATTGTTAGTTTTTTTTCCTAAATTTTTTCTGTCACACCATAGGACACATTTACGGTATATTTGCCAACTACCCATATATATATATATTTTATTTTATAATTTATTTATTATTCTCAGACTGCCCATCAAAGCGCTAATTATCAAGTGTTACTTCAGATCCTAATTAGTTGGTTCAGTTGTGTTTGATGAGGGTTGGAGCTGAACTCTGCAGGAAGGTAGATCTCCAGGAACAGGGTTGGGCACCCCTGCCTTAAGACATGGCTTGTGATGACGTGAATGCACAAAAAAATGACTTCTCCTTACGTCTTCATGAAGATCACCCAGAGATCTCCTCCCGAGGGAAGCGTCAGCTATGCAGAGCTGGGCAAAAGTAAAACAGAGACAGGAGAAATCACTCTGCTTCAGGGTGTGTGGCAGATGGTAAGGAGTCGTTAGTTCTTCAGCAAGCAGATTGATCTCCAGGCATCAAGAGTGTCTCAAACTTACTGTGTTTTTTGTGTGGTTTTTGAAGGACAAAACTCCAAGACGCTCCATTATAGGAATAAAGGGATATATTTGGAGTTCTGAAGATCCAGAAAGCCCTCAGAATCCAAACCGAGTTTCAAGCCCAAAGAAGCGCAAACTGTGTAAAATGTCTGCAGTAGATTTAGAGGACGAGATGGCCGTCAAACGTGTGAAGAGCTGCAGGGCTGGTAAAGGCTCATTCATCTACACCGATTAAACATGATAAATGTTTCTTTACATGCTTGAAATCTGAATGTTACCTCTGATTAAACTATTGTCATAGTTGCAGAATTTGTTATTGATATAACTGTGGAAATATTGATAGCATAGTTTATTTTTTATAATAAACTATTAATTCTTTTGGATCAAAATGTTTGAACCCGAATGTTTGTAATATTTTAATGTAATAATAATAATTATAAAGTCTGTTTGAAAAGGAAATTTGCATTTATCCTTTGTTTAGCTGTCAGTAATTATTACTGGTGTTTGCCAAGGCAAGCATCACTATTACTATTTTTATCTTTTTTTTTT